CGAAAATCCGAAATGAGATTGAAAAAGATAGAAGAAGATTAGTCTATCCACACGAGGTGTTTTTTTTTCATTTGCTAATCTAAAGTTTCTATCAAGACACATCTAACAAAAATTACTGAGCCAACTTACCTGCTTGTTATTTTAAATTATTTTGAATATTATATGTGAATAGTTCAATTTCGAAATGGTTAGATAAATACTAATTGAGATTGTCTTATTCAATAAATTAATTCAATTTTATATGTCAAATAAAAAAAATCATTTGAATGATTTCTTTTATTTTAGTGGAAAGATGGTGACTTTGTCATAACCGACAACCTAGCTGTGGCTCATTTCGCCAGCGATGATTCTTCAAGGCCAAGGTCGGAAGTTGGACTCCGGGTTCTTCATCGAACAACCATTAAAGGAAACAACAGACCAACGAAATAAAGAGGCACGAAATATACATTCATGAGAATAGAGCAAAGAATTCATGAAAAATAAAAATAAACTTGATTAAGAAAACATTATTTTTGTTCAACATGTTAATATATTTTGTTTTGTGAATACCTGCACGCGTTCTTTATACAACTAGTAACAAAACATGACAGTATCCGTAAATATCCAAGATGTAAGCCCTTGCAAAGGTTGTATTGTAGAACTTAGACCATTCATGATATATAAGCAAAACGGTTTGCACTCTAACATTGTATCAATTAAGTGCATATAGATATGCAAAAACGGTTTGCGCTCTGAAAGGAATCTATTTAAAGTATTAATGTATGTACACAAACGGGTTGCATTCTTTAACTTTACTTATTTAATGAATTTCTGCGTATGAAAAATGGGTTGTACTCTTACTGAATGTAATTAAGGTACATTTTTTATGTATGTACACAAACTGGTTTCATTCTTGATTTTATTTACATAAGATATATATACGTGGGTAAAAATGGGTTGCACTTTTAAGTTGCATCTATCAAATGTTTATAGATGTGTACAAAAACGGTTTGTACTTTTAAAATGAATAACTTTAAGCTATATAAGTATGTGCAAAAACGGATCACACTCTTTAATTCAATCTCTTTAGGGTAAAAAGGTATGTACAAAAACGGGTTACAATCTTAAATTGAAACTCTTTAGGGTATATTGATGTGTACAAAAACGGGAAACAATTTAAATTTGAATCTCTTTAGGGTATATTGATGTGTGCAAAAACGGATTTCACTCTTAAATTGAATCTCTTTAGGGTATAAAGGTATGTTACACTCTTAAATTGTAATTATCAAATGTTATAGATGTGTACAAAAACGGGCTGCACTCTTAAATTGAAAAGGGTATATTGATGTGTGAACAAACGGGTTAAGTTTTTACATAGAATCTATTTTGGGTATGTAGAATTGAATCTCTTTAGGATATAAAGGTGTGTTTAAAAACAGGTTGCAGTCTTAATTCTTTCTTTAAGGTAAATAGGTGTGTTCAAAAGCGGGTTGCACACTTATATTTTATATATCAAGTGTATAAAGATGTGTACAAACCCGGTTGCTCTCTTAAATTGAATCTCATGAGGGTATATAGGTGTGTACAAAAACGGGTTGCTCTTTCAAACTAAATCTTTTTAGGCTATACATGTTTTTGCACAAAAAAAAGATTGTACTTTTACATTTTGTAGTTCAAGTGTAAATAAATGTGTTCAAAAACGGGTTGCACTCTGAGATAGAATCTATGTTGGGTATATAGGTGTGTACAAAAAAGGGTTGCACTCTTAAACTGAATCTGTTAAGGGTATATAGGTGTGTGGAAAAACGGGCTGCACTCTTATATAGACTCTATTTTAACATTCTTACATTCTTAAAATTTTAAGTCCCAGTTACAATACGGCGTGATTCAGGTTAACTTGCATTTTTTAGATATTACACATTCAAATAATTGTAAAAAATAATACATGTACCTATATTTTAAGAGATCATCCCCCTTTGTATAAAATTTTGTAATTTTTGGGATAACATAATTTCTGATCATCAGCAACGCCGTATATGACAAGGGTCATAACTCTAGCATCTTTTCCATAGTGATCACTAATATTTCTATATAAATTTTCCTGATAATTCCCTTATTTTTCCCGGACTCGACTTTATAAGTTGATGAAGCCTTCCTTAAGTGGTTAAAGTGTCTGCCTCTCAACCCAGGGAATGTGGATTCGAGCCATAGTCGGGCTATGCTGCGATTACTGGTACTGCATAACTGTCTAAAAGAAGATGGTATTGCGAGTACCGAGACAGTACTTTGGTTGTCATAAATTATAGCATTTTTATTCCATTTCGTGGAAATAAATGAAATTGTGCTACATGAAAAAATGTAGCTTGAGAGAATACAAATTGATAATTAGAACTGAATTTAATCTATTTTGTTGTAGTTTTTATGTGTCTGTAAATAGTAATTAAATGTGTGACTATGTTCGTGAAGTTAGCGAGACAACTGGAGCAGCTGGAACACTTTTTGTCTAGTCTAGCCAGAGATGATACTGTAAAACATGTTCAAAAGATCATCATTTTATTCCATAATGTAATTTCAAATTAGTTACTACTTTAATTTTCGGCCAGCCAGAATAAGCGGAAATGCGACTTCTACTGAAAAAGAAAAAAAAGACCATGAATGAAAATAATGTGTGTCGTGTTTGATGTGTTCTCTGGTATCAGTATGTCCGTCAGTAATACTCTGGTAATTTGCTGACGTTAAAGATATACTATGCTCATCATTTAGTAAAATATTTCAAAGGCCCATTTTGTCTCAGAAATGCTATATGAAATGCTATCATTTTATTTCTTAAACTGTTTAATTTATGGTATCTTGTTACAGTTTCCAAAAATATTCTAATTTGTTACATTCATGAACTATTTTTTTGCATCTTTAGCACTTTTGGCAAATTAGCATAATTATATTGAATTAGTATTTTGTATTGAAGTCAAAATACTACTGTGTTACATTTTGCTACCTTAACAGCACATAACTAAGAAAGAAAGAAAAAAAAACTGTTTAAAAGCGGTATATAAAGATTTGCATCTACAATACATGTATTAAGATTCTAATTATATGATCTATTAATAAACATTGCTTGTTACCTTTCCACTTTATCCGCCCAAAAATGGGTTTTGTCCGCGTCTGTGAGCGATTGCGAAAACTTGCTGGTGTCCACACTTGCTGCTCATAAGCATATCACGCTCATCAGCAGTCCAGTTCATTTTTTTGCCCTGTCAGACATCGCTGAATTACAGCCGACGTCGTCTTTCAATATTGACAATGAAATGCGCGTTAACTCCTTTTTGAAAGAATACATGTACGTGCTAGTGCATAGGCGTAAAAATCGTACGTCTATGATAAACGTAAGATTTTAGGTTGAACGCACGAGCTCGTTGATAAGACAGTCTTACGATTGAGCGAACGGCAATCTACGTTAAGATTTTCAAAATCCTACGATCGTTGATAAGACGGGCCTCAGGTGCACAGCTTTACATGCTGATAAACATTCCTGTAAGTTTTGTTCACTATAGCTAAAACACTTTTAGAGCAAAATGTGACACATCATGAGAACGGACAGACGGACGGAAAGAGCAAATCTAAATGCCAACCATCTATAGTCGGGGTACAAAAATTTAGAGCACTGCAAACTATTTTGTGTGTTTAGACAAAGAGGATTTTGGGAACATAATGTTACATGGGCCAACAATTACATCATGGTAAAGGAAACACACAACACTTGTCTCCACGACATTGATATAACACATGTGTTGATGTTTTATAAAAGTTCAGGATATTTCTTATCGAAATTGCATTAAAAAATAATGAGAAAAAAATGTTCCACGTCGCATGACATTCTTCGACTTTTGAAAAATAAACGATACCTTTCTCAGTTTTGTTTTGGTTGAGTGCTCTGCAACGGAAATATCGAAGATCATCAAATTGTGTAAGAACCACCATAAAGTAGGGGTGTTTTAGGCCACGTAAACGTTTTATAACAGCATTGTAGCCTTATAATAACAACATTATTACAAACTTAAGTTTTAATACGAAAGTTCAGTTTAAAGTTACAAACTTATAAATTCCCATAATTATAGTTCACGAATTCTATATGAATTTTGTAATGCACATGTTCAACATTATGTAAAGAAGAAACTGTTACTATCCACATATTTCTACATGTTATATTTTGTTCAGTTTTGTTTTCATATCTGGTTTGATGTATACACGTATACGTGTTTCATTAAACGTATTGATTCACAGTTGATCTCCAAGCCTGTTCTCCTGAAAAAAGAGAAAGACATATGTTGATGTTTGAAATATGATAAGTATGCTAATAGTGGAGAGATTAAACCCAAAGATCGTTTGTTCAGCGGTTAAGACTATGCGACATTTTTTATGACATTCTGCAATTTCGGATTGAATAATGTACGCAATCTCTATAGGATTCCCAGTCGGTTTCCTATACAGTTTTCTACAAAAACCTTTAATGGCTCAATTTGACATTAAACTCATGCAAGTAAAATTTTCAGCTTCGTGTCTAAACCAAATAAAAACAAAATATTACCTTTTGGTGGAGGCGGATTTCGCACTGAAAATAGATAAACACTTTCATTAGAACTTTTGAAAGTTCAGGAAAAACATGCAGAAAAAAAAGAAGAAAAGGAGCATTTTTTTTTAAACAGAATTAATTGATCTAAGCCAATGATGCACATTTATTAACATATTTTTAGATAATCCACCAACTTGTTCTCATTTTTATAATTTATATTGAACAGAAATTGAAAATTGTTGCAACGCTTTTTATTCAAATTGGACTAAGAATCACACTAAAAAAATCGATTTTTAATCTAATTCTGAGTATATTTCTGTATTTTTCATTGCAGGTATTTCCTTTTTAAGTGCTTCCTTTGAGGTGTGAGAATTTTTTTTATATCTTTTTGACTTCAGTGGAAAGGATCTCCTTTAAGTCTTTATATACAGCACACTCATTCATGTTTAAGAATGTAACATACACACCATTTATTTCATTTCTAGATATTCATGTTATTTGTGCCATTGACTGGTGTTTGTACTGCATAAATCAGATATTTTATTTTCCTCTAATAAAATTGAGAAAATAAGAAACCTCAAAGAAAGCGCAACACGGCAAAATTGAAAATGTTGCACGCTCGGTTTGCTTGAGCCTGTTCATGAAAGGTACTTTCAAATGCAAACTACCGTCCACGCCAAATAGCACCGGCTCAAACCGGCTCAAGCAGACTTCAACATTTAAACATGGTAAATGGTAAAATCTTGAATTTAAGTCTGCGTTGTGCTGTAAACAGCAAAGAATTTACAAAGTACATTTAGGTACCGGAACATAATTGTATTACACAAAAATATTCACTGATACTCGTATGTTGGAGCATAGTTTTACTGTATTCATATGCATACTTTTAGTCCATGCAAGGCGATACATAGTGTAAAATATATTAATGTTATAAATACCTGACACAAGATACGATGGAAGCTTGAGTTGTGGCTTTGGAGGCGAACGCGGTGTCTGTGGTGTTGGCAGCCTTCTAATTTTAGGGCGGTACATCTGTTTTTTCTTCCCAAAACTGCAAGCAAGAGAATTTCTTACTATTGTAAAAGAGCATGAAATATATACGGAGACGGGGGAAAATGGTGGGATTATTCGCTATACTAGCAATGACGGTGTTTTGGAATGTTTGGTTTTATGTAGCTCCCATGGTAAAACTGCAAAATATTCTTCTGAATTTGAATTGGGGGGAAAGGAAAGTGATGTCAATGACCTTTAAATGAAATAAGTGCATTAATTAACTGTATTTGTTATATTCTTGCAAGCATATAACAGGTTACAATAGATCTACGTGAATCTAAGTATTTACCAAAGAGAGATATACGAAATCCATAAAAAAAAGACAAAAACGGCAAAATTAAAAACGTTGCGGACTCGGTTTGATCGAGCCTATACATAAACGGCACTGGATAGTGCTAGCTACGTCCACGGTCCCTAGCAACAAGTGTATATATAGTGAAGTCATTAAATCTTATTAACGTAGAATATAGGTAAAATCATTACCTTATTTTTTATATAGTTTAATGAACTTTTTCACTTTAAAACTTAGATTAATGCCATAACATATGATGAATTCCTATATAAAGGAAATATGGTCACGTGGTTTGTGCAAATCTATGGTGCACTTACAATTGTCTCTGGAAGGCTCGACAACCTTTATCGCCACTGCACGTTCCAATGATCCAAATAAGAAGGCCTATAAAAATTGCTGTCAATACAATACAGGCGACTAACCACGGTATATTTCTACCGTCGTCCATAAACGTCTTGTACCTGTCTGTTGTTGTCGTTGTTGACGTTGTTGTTGTATCTAAATGTAGAAAATAAAAAAAACAGTTTATGAATAGTAACACTAGAAAAACACACATTGATTCTAAACAGCTTTTGAGTGTCAAGTATAGCATTACTAAATCTGAGATTGCCAACACTATGACGTTCAATGACCTCAACTGAGGTTTTTTGACAACACAGGACAGAAAATAATTTTTCGAGATTAACGTGTCGTTTGATGCAGGTCTAGACTCACGACTTGTGTTAGCTTATTCCGTTGTTGCAGAACAATTATTCTAATTGTGCAAAATGAACCAAAATTCAAATAGGGCTGAGAGTAGCATAAAATATCATTTTGTGACCATATTGCTTTATTATCTTTTACTTTAAGTGCCTGAGCAACTGATCTATGTAAGAAATTCTAATTTTATATTTTATATTTTCAGGCTTTTTGACCTCAGTGGAGTTCCAGTCAAACAAAAGCACATGACCATCCCATCCCAAACTGAACATAAAGATTTCACTGGTCCAAGATTATCTATTCGTATCATAGTCATTTATTTGTATTGTTGGGCATTATTCCATATCACACGTATCATTTACATCAATACAAAAAAATCCAGAGCAAAATCTAATTGCATGTTTTTGAAACTTATAGCAAGGACGATCACTCAAACTACGTTTCTATTTGGCATGGCAGTCTACTATTTGAGCATTCAAATCATTCAAATGATATATATTTTCAATTTTCATTTGCAATATTAATGGAAATACACAACAGAAATAACGTTAATAAGCATTAAAATGTAGTTTTTTTTCAAGGACTTTTAACAGGTACCTGATATTGTTATAGAAACTGGTGCCGTATCCGACAGAGCTCCCCCGTCGGTGGCAGTGGCGCTCACAGAAACCGTCGTTAAGAAATTTAAAGGAGTTGGCGACTTTAAAACTGTGATTTGTCCATTATTATCTATGGAGAAGTACTCATCAAGGAGTGATGCTTGGTCTAAGGAATATGTCAGCGTTCCAAATGTCCCATTGTCGTTGTCAGATGCTGTCACTGAGCCGACGACAGTGCCGACGGAAGCATAGTAACTGACGTAGAATGAATACGAAGCTGGCGAGAAAACTGGCGTGTTCTCATTTCTGTCACCTGCAAAGGATGATGGTATCTATGTAACAAAATAGTATTTCCGAGATCTTTTATTTATTCAGTTTCAATAATACCGTGTGTCCAAATATTAAATATGACAGCCTATCGGGGTTTTCACGACCTACAAACCTAAACATAATGGGATGTTGACAGACTCAGCATGGATCCAGCGTCGCAACCTTGCTGTCGTGGGAAAGTTAATTAATCTACCTCAAAAATTCTATATAACAACATGTATCTCAGTTAAAACCTGGGTGATTTTTGTTAGATATGTATCTCTGTCTAAAAGCACGGGATAATTTTGTGGGATATTATTTAACACAGGACCCAAAATCAAGATATTTTCCCGATATATATCATATATGCAAGTCGTTAGGATATAAGATACATGCTTCATTTATTCAAACTTATTATAAATTTCCTGTAGTTAAAGTGCCATTATGCCTCAGATGGCTAAATTATATAATGCTGGTGTTAGATTTAATAGATATTCTACAATTACTCATTGTAAAACTGAACAATTTTTCTCTTTTATTTCACACTTTTATAGTGATTTAAGTAAAAATTTTTTCACATTTTGCCCGCGTAATGACATTATCATTTGTATTCATGCACTATTCCAGCGTCACATCTTACATTTTAAATAGTCTGTTTGCCTTTCTCTAAAATGTAACAATTTAACTTGATGTCTGATGCATAATTGCCTTTTTAATTAGATAAGAAAATTTGGATCTATGGAACTGGCATTTATTACTCTTTTATATACTTTTAGTTATGAATTTTCTTTTCATGATATTATAAAGCGTGCCGGTACCGTGAAACTACTATTTGACATAATTTCACTTGTGTGTTTGAATCAGAAATAATAATGTATCGGAATCAAATTACTGAAAACATTGGAAAGCATGAAATAAATTAACATACATCTTCAATTATTCAAACGTTTATCATACATTATGAATCTTTGTGTTTAAGTTATGCGAAAGTTAAATTTATTGTATCAATGTATGGTAGTAACGTGAGCTTTGTTGGCGAAAGCTAGTTAAGAACTGGTCAATAAGCTGCAAAAATGAGATAAAATTCAAAAAGTAGTTATTCATGTATTTTAATACCATCTATTGATGTTGTAAATTATACCCATAACAATTATAATTCATGTATAACAAAGCGACTAAAGCTGTTGGGAAGAGCCATTAGGTGACCGGCGTCCGCAATCAGAGATTTTATCACACTTGCTTATTTCCAAGAGGTTTAACAGTCCCTGTGAGAAAAGAATAAACTTGTTTATACTTATTTCAAAGTGAGTTTTCCTATCATCAACGTACACATTTGTCATCTTGTAACTACATTGGCGAATAACATTTCTTATACCACGTTCAATTTAAAATGTTGCTAATAATGCTATAACTTCTAGAGCGGCAAGTTTCAACTAGGTCCTCAAACCGGATTCCTCGTAGTTCGGATTTGATGGCCGGAAAAACGGAAAAGTCCATTGGGGCCAGGTCGGGTGAGTAGGGTGGGTGAGCGATGCGGTTAAACCCGAGAACATCAAGTTCCAGAGAAGTGGCAGATGCTGTATGCGCAGGCGCATTGTCTTGATGTAGGTAGATGTTTTCCCAAGATTAACGCAAAACTTAATAAAAACACGCTGTTCCTCTTTTGACGGTGTTTCCATAGTCGTTGTCTTGTCGCGCACGTATTGCTATAATGATCTGCGGTAACGGCTTAAACAACTAGCGGAAATGACGTCCTTCAGTTGGAAGTGACGTCATAAAATTTTCGTGACGTTTGGCGCAATTTTAGGGGCTCTTTTTATTCAGTAAGAAAACTTATAACAAGAAAATAGTCCGTGCGCCAGGATGCGTAGACAGGTGTTGCTATGGAAACGATTATATGCCGTATAGTAACGTTACAACGTTTTAAAGACATAACTCGGATAAATAACATATTAAGCTATAATTTGTATTAAATAATATTCGCAGCTGTAATTAGAAACAGAGAAAATCATATTGTCTCAAAACTTTCCGAACAACCCTCGTACTTTAATAGTATCCAACAAGTTACTCATTGTCCAATTACCTGAACGATTTTTTTTCATCTGTTGCTTTTTGGCAACAACTATAGCTATAGTGAGTTAGGGGTAGTCAAAATACTACTTTGTTCACATTTTGCTACTTTTATGACATAATATTTCATATTAATCGCTACTTTCTTCAGGTAACAAGCATCTTACATTCTCTAAAAGTCATGTTTGCCCTTTCTAAAGAAGTAAAAAATGTACTTGTGTCTGATGCATAATGTGCCTTTAAAAGTAGGGATAAAAAAACTGGTGGCAAATTCTATGGAATGGCTGCATTTATACTCTTTTAAACATATACTTTTACATGTACTCATGAATTAACCAATGGTACGCATTTACTCACTAATATAAATATAAAGCGTTGCCGTGTCCGTGAGCCCACCGGCGTCCACTATTGTGACAGTGCATGTGACTGTCACTGTTGTTGTTGTTGCTGCAAAAATAAACAAGCCATAAGTAAATAATAGTATTAGGAAACAATCTGACTGAAATGTTATTTGGTTTATTTAACATGAAATGAAATTGATACATAATCTTTCGATTTACAAAATCAAGTTTATCAGTATCATTATGAAATCTTTAGTATGTTTTATGCGATAATTATGATTTGCCTACGTCACAGTTGTATACAGTCAGTCCAACGTGCCAAAGCTCTGTACACGTTGGCCGCTTATGAATGCTAGTTAAGATTCCAACTTCAACGTCGAATAAGCCATGCAAACAAACATGGGGTATGAGACTCAAATAATGTAAATTAAGTAGTTCCATTTCGCCACTGTTTCTAAACCATCCTAAGTGTGCATGTTAAGTAAATTAATACCCCGAAATAACACAATTATAAATTCCTGTACCTATACTGTAATCGGACTGAAAAGAAACTTGTCCTGTGGAAGAGTCCATGTAAAAGGAGGCCGTGTCGTCCCCGCAATTCAAAGAGAATGTTTTTGTATCACCACTATCTTCATCTGTAACACCATATGTAGGTGTACCTATTACATCCCCTGCCTTGAAGTTCAAAATTGAATAAACATTGTTTATATACATGGTATGTATAATGTTGGTTTTCGTTTTATCGCAATTCAACTGTACGGACATGTGTATTTTATAATTAATTTTGTTTGTCGGGCATCAAACATAATCTACTGTTACATACATTCATCTTCAATTTGTAAAAAAATCCGAAAAAATATATGACTTAATTGTACTATAACTATGTACGTAATATGGCAAGAAAATTTATTTCTTCATTTGTGAAGAAATATGTTGCTTTTATTATTTGCTCCCTTATTGCAGGGTCCGTCAAGTGTCTATATGAAAGACCCTGCTTATTGTAATGATACAAAAAAATAATTTATTCGTAAGCTTTATTTCGCTTTGTGCTACCCCACTTAAACTTCACTGTCTTTAATTGAAAATTTCTCATTTTGATAACAATGCTGTCGTCATCTGGTGATGGAAAATCATTTTTGAAATAAACCAAGTCATGCAAGTTTTGCAGTAACCTTACATGGAGTTAATGGTGTTTTAAGATTACACAATTGATAGAAATCATAATCCTGATCTAATTATACATGTAAATACAATTCTTCTCACCGATCCCTCTGTTGTCGACAGACTATAAGTAGACAGTGCAAACTTCGGGGCCTCGTTCACATTGATTACGTCAATAACTAACGATTCTGTATCCGATGCCGTGCCGTCGTTAACAGTTATAACAAATGTGAATGACGTTGTCCCAGCAGTAACTAACGCCTCGTAATCAAGTAATGTACCAGAGGTTGATATGCGTCCGTTTCCAGCTGAAAAAAAAAACAAACAAAACACAATACTGTTTCCATTAAAACATTCTAAACTGGCACCCTTTTTCATTAACTTTTAAGTAAATTATCAAATCAGTGGAATGATAAAGTCCCTCGTATTATCAAATTACTCAAAAATAATAATGCCAGTGGAATTTCGAATCTTCAAAAAATATTTATTGATATCTTAAGTTTTTACCAGATTTACCATTAATTAGGTGGGATGATTATAATAAGGTCAGATATTAAAAGAAGTCCTTTATTGCATGCTAAGTATGCCAGCTTCGTAACTGTAATGGCCACAGATAGTTTATATTCTTTGTAGACAAAGAATTAGAACACATAACAAGTATTGTAGTATTTTTTTCTTTTGCATGTTTGAATATTTCTTTAAAACGGCATTCAAGATTTTTTTAAGTTTATATATGTTTGTTGATTTTTTTTACTTAAATGTTATAGCAGGCATATGGAAACGCCTTTCAATAACCAGCTACATATAATGTATTGTATTAAATGTTACACATTAATATTTCCCTTAAATGTACTAAATGTTTTTCATTGTTTAATATAATATTAATAAAGCTCATTCCATAAATTTATATCTCATCTCCGAAAAATTAAGTATTTCATTGATAAATATGATGTACAGGAAAAGCTCTGATATTATAAAAAACTTAAAGTTTTTTTAAAAAAAAAATGCTACAAACAATTTATAGAAAAGTATGACGATCCTGTCCCAGGGGTTGACGCCATGGAGTACGTCCACGTTTGTGTATCTTGGTCGGATATGGAGACATCAAATACTGACGATGCTAATGGGGTGTTTTCCTGGACGGTGTAGGAATTTGCCAAAGGGAGATTATTTATCAAAACTGGATCATTTATATCTGAAATAAGAGTCAAAAATATCTTTAGTGAAAGTCAAAAATTTCTTTAAAAAACATAAACGCAGTTGCTTTCAATATTCTTTTTAAATGATTAATAATTTCTCTTTAAAAAAAGGAAGGTATAGAAAATTTTCAGTTTTCAGTTAATTGAAAAAATAAGGCTTTTATAAATTTCAAGCATAAACAAAGGACACCACAATGCACAATTTATTATAAATGTATACTAGTATATTAATAAAATTTGTTTTCGTGTAGGTACAATCACGTGGCAGTAGGACATATTCATAATGATAAAACTGACCTTTGATAATCACAGTTAATATTTTCGGATCTGCTGTATTTTTAGCATCAGCTACGGTGATTTCTATATCATAACCTACTGTTGCATAGCTTGAAATGTCCGCATTCAGCTGGATTTCTCCCGCTACAAAAGAATTTATATGCAATGTACAGGAAAAATTTGAGTACAAATCGAGATAACTATTGTATTGCTATGTAAATAATATATGTTTAGTTGCCACATATGTGCAAAAAGATGTGAAGCTTGTGCGTTGTCGCATTTATAAGAATAAAATATATGCTTTCAATATCTTGTTGCCCTTATATTTCAATACAGATGCTGCTGTGGATTCGAATTCAAACATTTTACTATGTCATGTGAACAGCCGGGAAGCTAAAGAGCTAGCTTACGGAAGGTCGCTTGTTCATCTGAGTACCTTCTCTTGATTGAAACAATACAGAAAGAGACACCTGAAGATTTCCTCAACCAGGAAAGCTAGAAAGTGATCATTTGACGATAGCAGTGGCGGTACGACTTATCAACACCAAAACAAAGATAACGTTATATTTGATTGACGCCATCGGGAAATTTTACAACAATGTACGCAATTATACGTAGATAAAATTTAATAAACAGTATAAATACATTTTAACAAAAAAAATAAAATAAAAAAAATACATTACATTTTAACATTTGAAATGTAACCTCGGGCAAAATAAAACGGAGCACATCGTCACGTCTTATTTAAAATGCAATATTAGATGGAGTATTTTGATGTCTAACTTTCACGATCATAGTGACATATAAACTTACAGAAAACCGTTGATTGAACATAATAACACATAAACAGAAATGGAACAGAGTGACACTTGAACAAATATGCAGCATTAGATGGAACAGAGTGACACTTGAACAAATATGCAGGATTAGATGAAACAGATTGACACTTGTACAAATATGCCGCATTAGATGGAACAGAGTGACACTTGAACAAATATGCAGTATTAGATGGACCAGAGTGACACTTGAACAAATATGCAGTATTAGATGGAACAGAGTGACACTTGAACAAATATGCCGCATTAGATGGAACAGAGTGACACTTAAATGTACACGTACATGTAATTATTTGGAAAAGAGTGACGACTGAACTTTCAAGGAACATTAGACAGAACAAAGTGACGCCTGAACGAGCATGCACAATTAGACAGAACGTAGTGCCAAATGAACGTTCATGCACCATTCGACGAGACATTGTGGCGTCTGCGATTAGACTGAACATTGTGAGGTTGATGTTTTAAACTTACATGCAAATATCGTGAAAGGACATGGTGTAGGATTACACGACATGGAATATGTTATCGCGTCACCCTCGTCGTCAGTAGCATTGACTGTAAACACGTTGGTACCAATACCAGCTGATGTTGATATACTTGTGGCAGCTGAGAATCAGAAAGCAAATATTGTAATCACAATTAAACATGCCAATTTCCCAGCACTTTCTTTTACGAAACAGCACAGATATAGATCTAGTCTTCATCAGACTGTTAGGTTCTTTGTATTACCATTGTGAATTGAAAAGTGTCTATATGTCATTAAAACCTGTATTGGCGAACTTAAAGAAATGATATATTTGCACAGTAAAAAATATGCTGATAAGAATATATTACATGGTTAAGATATTAAGAGGAATGGCCGACTGTTGCTGTTTAAAGCGAATATCGTCTAAATGATTTAATCTTTTGCAGTTCGCGAGGCTTAACCAGATATATTGTAAATAAATAAATAAATAAATAAATAAATAAATAAATAAATAAATAAATAAATAAAATAAATGAATGAATGAATGAATGAATGAATGAATAAATGAATGAATGAATGAATAACAAAAATATGTATATATAAATAAAACATAAATAAATAAACATAAATAAAAATGAATATATTATAAATACATAATATCTATTAACAAATATTAATATATAAATAAATAAATACATTTTGTAAATAAGTAATAAATAAATAAATAAATAAATAAATCTGAATATTTCTTCACAAATGACATTTCCCTACCTTGCAGGTTGTGAATTACAGGTGTCTTATTCTTCACAAGATAAACATAGAATGTCCCAGTGTTACTGTCTTTATAACCATCATTACACTTCACTGTGAACGTATAACTGTTTTTCGTATTGTAACTTAAATTTGGGGTGTCATCCACATATATACCATAATCTGAAAACGGTTTTGTAACATTCCACTTTTGTTTTGATTCGGCTTACAATACATGTACATTTGAAGATGCGAGAAGTGTTCAAATATGAATGCATCTAAGCACGGAAAATTTGATTCTTCATTAGGGTTTACTTTTTTTTATTTTGGTCCCTCAAAGTATTAATCCCCCTAAAAATATACACTAAGTTTCAATTTCCGGATAAAATCTTTGAAGGTATTTCATAGTCTTCTTGTATATATTATTAAGTATTGAAACATTGCAGAACCGAAGTGTTTATTTCAGACCTAAAATCTTAATTTCAAGATTTGGAAACAAAAAAAAACAAAAACAAAAAAAAAAAAAACACAAGGGATACGGACGATTTGGAGCACAGCAACTATTTTTTTGCTCCAAAAAAATCTTGCAATCTGACACTGGGCACACCTGTTGGGTCTTCATTTTGTTTAGTGTTTATTTTCGAAGATCATTTGCCTTGTAAAATTTTGCGCAAACAACAACCTCAGTGACGGAACCCCGAGTTTTTAAGGAAAAAAGCATACATTACTTCCTTTATAACAATAGACTTTTTGCAATGCATTGTCTTTTGCAAGACTTTGTAGCCCAAATTTTGTGTTGGTGTTTTTGTTAGGCTCAAAAAATGACAAATAACGACATTTGCAAACGACCGTGCATTGTAATTTGAAACTGTTAAAGCAATTTAAAAGAAATTAAATGCAATCGAAATTGAATGGCAGATAGAAAGCCGTATTGTTGTAACATTATTTGTTAAAAGATTGTTGATTCACTTGAAATAATATTTTAGTATATCTTTAATTTTTGAACCGAAATAACAACAGCTATACTTATGATAAACAAGATTAGAACTGCTTTGGCTAAATATAATATAATTTTGCGAACATATTTATATAAAAGTAACATCGAACTTGGACACAGAACCGTCTAATTACCTGAGGTCCCTGAAACCTGGTTAATACTGAAAGGGTCAGTTGTCGCTGGGCTGAAAGAACACGTGATAGGGTCGGCGGTGTCCGTAGCATTAATTGTATACAACAGCGTTTGCGTTGTTGTATCCTCACTCAAAGTTACCGCCGCGGGCATGTCATGCAAGACTGGAGGCTAAAACGAAAATTTGATCTTGTACACAGAGGAATGTCCTAACAGAATACTAACAGATATTAGCAAAAGATTTCTATGAAATGATTGACAAGGGTTATATCTGATGACGGACAAGGATTGTCTTGAATTGGCGTTTTCGTTAATTGTACTCATGCCGGAAAGGCTCATGCTATACAATTGAATGCTTAGGATGACGTTATTTTACCGTTATGAATGAAGTTGAAATTTCATACGCTGTTGAAAGAAAATAGTTTTGGGTTTAATGACCTAAATTTCAATGGAAAATTGTTTTATTAAAGAAACGAATTTAAAATATAATGGAATATGGTATCGTGACCCCCCTCCCCATTGGGCGGATATTCCTTCCGATCTGAAACGCAACATATGATGAAACATGTTATTATTATGATGGCCGAGAATTGTAACAGATGATGGCTAAAACATTTATTAAATGATGAGCAAGCTCTATCATATAATATGCAAGTGTTTGTGTGAGATGACGGACAAGGAATACAATCAGACGACGGGCAATGAGTTCTATCAAATGGCAAGTTTTCAATTTTCTCAAAGAACGTGTACCAGCAAATTGACATTATAGCAATACTTCATATAAGAATAATGATTTCATCCCTCAAATTCAGAATCACTTGCAGGGAAGTATACACATATAACATATTCATAGAAACGCCTACAAATAAATATTTGTTATATATGTTATATTTGACACTTCCCTGCAAGTGATTCTGAATTTCAGGGATGTGTGCACATATAACATATTCATAGAAACGCCTACAAATAAATATTCGCCTACAAATAAAAAGAATTTCTTGAACTAACCATGAGACATACGTGTACTTGTTTTTAAGTGTATTTGTATTTAAAATAAGTGAATAATGAAATGTAAAAGTGAATGAGCGAAAGGAACATTGAACAAGTGAGAAATATTTGAAAGATAGAGGTGTATATTATTTTTACAGGATACGCCAAAGCACAGTTCTAACACCGGTGGTTCTTAACATTTGACGTAAAGGGAGAACAATCATCGAATTAATAAAACATGGCGTAATGAAGATTACCGTCTCAACGTTTTTATCCAGCTTACGAACATAATGAGTAAATGAGTAAAATGATTTAAGCCGTGTCACCACAAAACCAACATAATGGGTTTGCGACCGGCATGGATCCAAGCCAGACTGCGCATCCGCGCAGTCTGATCAGGATCCAAGCTGTTCGCTTACCAACCCTTTTACAAGTCGAGAAACTGATAGCGAACATCATGGATCCTGATCAGACTGCGCGGGTCTGGATCCATGCTGGTCGCAAACCCAATGTTGGTTTTGTCGTGACACGGCTCATTAGCTTACTTCGTTTACGATATCAACAGTAATTGTTATATCGTCTGTGTTTCCACAGAAATCTGTGACCGTGAAGGTAAGAGTTTCTGTTGAATCATTTCCTGATAGGGATGTAGCCACCGACAAAGTGCCTGTCATAAACAATAACAAGAGCGATCAGTGATCACATGTGTCGCCTCATGATGGCCAATTTCATGTTGGGACAAGTTTTGTGACAGACGGACAGACAGACGCACAGTGCACAACTAGACTTGGTACTTATCATTCCTGTAAAGTTTGGATTAAATTGCGCCAGTAGTTTATGAGGAGTAGTCCGGACAAGCTTTTGTGTATCTGGCAATACACAGAAAAACAACACATAATTATCGGAGGGCCATAACTCGGCCAAAATCCTTCAACCGGAAAACCCGTGCAATATGCGCAAGGACTTGAGCTACAAATCAATCCTGTAAGGTTTCATTGAAATTGCATTAGTGGTATAAAAAAAGTAGTCCCAACAAACTTAAAAATAAAAAATATTAAAGGGCCATAACTGTTACAAAAATCATTGAACCGGAAAATGCTGGCAATATACATGTACACAACTACACTTTGTACTGATCATTCCTGTAAAGTTTGGATGAAATTGTACCAGCAGTTTATGACGAGTAGTCCGGACAAGTTTTGTGACGGACGGACAGACGGACGGACAGACAGACGACGGAGAAGTGATCCTTATATGTCGCCACTACTCCGTAGAGGCGACACAAAAATATAAATGCATGTAGGTTTCCAAATTTCCAAAGACAATTTTCTTAATTGAAGAATTTTGTATTTGTCAGAAAGGTCCCTAATATCGAGAATATTTGTTCATAGTGTGTTTCACTCTATTTTAACATACAGGTTTTTAAAGCAGTACACACCAATATAGTGGTGATCTCTCGGAAGAAGTAAAGCGGCACTATTTTAAAATGGGAGACTAAATTTGTTTCAGTTTTGTTCATGAGAAATATTGTTAATATTCAACATCTCCCACACCCCTAGCGCCGTTTTATTTAATAAACTGAATGCTTGAATTACTTAACCCGAAGGACCAAAATATATAAATTACTGTAGTAAAACACGGGGCAACTTTAACAGCTGTCATATGGAACTTCACGCCTACTGTTGTAAAGTGTATGGGCAATGACAAAGCATTATTATATAAATTACTGCAGACTTCTGTTCATGAAAGATAGTGTACAACCTCAACAGCACTAGCACCAGCATAAGCGGTATTTTGTGTGCTGGAATCAAGTTAGTCTTTAGAAATCGTACGATTGTGTTTAATCTGAGAGAAAACAATGTTAGGTGTAAAATATACAAAAATATGCATTTATAAAGCTAGTTCAAGACACAATAAAATTTCACTACACAAAATATGCAAAAAAAGACATTTATGATTTTCGGAAAAAGAGGGAAATAGAAAAGTAAAAAATATTCATTCATTTTTAGCCCTTTTTGTATTTCTCAGGCATTTCAACAGACTTTTCCCGTGTAACGACATGCACTCATTCGTGACATTTTCAAAACATATTGTTTTCACTCTGAAGAACTAGCCTACCTGTTCCTGTCCCTTCGGTAAATGTGAACTTTGAATTGGTCGTCATGGTTATATTCAACTCATCACCAACGTCGGGATCCGACCAGGTAACTGTTGTTATTGCCGTTCCGATAGCTTCATTGTTCAATATAGAGTAGGCTGTGTTATCAGCCGGACTATCGATAGTTGGACCAGATCCTATTTGGTAGAAATATTTACGTTTTATTATGTTATATGCTGTCTTCCTCATGATGGAGTTGTTAAAATTGTTTATATGACACAATGTAGTTATTTTTGATGCATATTTCAGAAAAGATTACGTTAATAGCAAAAGGACCGTGAGCCACTTTCGAGCCAATAAGCTGGCAATGATTGAGCAAACGCGACATTGCTTGTTATGACATACCTTTATGGCAATGCACATGCTTATGTCTTCTCTCTGAATGCACCTACCTCCATTTGCTATAGCCTTTATAGCATATGTGTTAGTCTGGACAGATGTTGTGGGCCAAGTAGTCGTACTACCAACCGTAGGTCTAGTCATTGATTGAATTGTTGTTTCGGGTATGGTTCCAGCAGCTTTGTGTTCAATGATGTTGTTCCCGTCCGCAAACCTACATCATATTACACGTATATGCAAAAATGTATAAAAGTTTACAAAATTTCTAAATAGCAATTTCATAAAATTAATTAAAAAAAAGACAACTTTTCGAACCAATTTTACAATGGATATAATATTTCGCCGTAATGGTTGACTTTAGGAGAAATTACTATCTATTTTGGCACGAGATTCGTGTGAAATAAGTGTTTACAATCCAAGTGCTACGTTTCCTTAAAAAATCAAAGCGCTGAAAGAACTGGAAATCGGCGTAGCATAAGAGACAAAATCTTGTTATGTTATCAAGCTTAAATAAACATTTCAGTGAATCTTATTAGCTAAGAATTATGTTCCATTCTATTTACAAAAATGTAATTCTATTACACAACAATATTTAGTAACACGTGTATTAAATGATTGAGCTACTGTTAAACAATATTCATTCACTAATAATTCGTCTGACTGGAAAAGTGAGAAGTTTTATCAGAAAGTTGCCTTGTTCTGAAATATTAACCAGCTTGGAAGTGCATTTAATTATATTCAAATGTAGAGAAATTCACAATTATCGACAAAAGAGCACGAGCCACCACATGTGTTTGTACCCAGAAACGGTTTCTATGTCCGATATTTAAATTTATTAACCAGTTCCAATATTATGTACAGTGATGAAAGAGTTCTAGAATAATAAAATCTAGTTTTGTTAAACGAATAATAGTACATAATCCTCTTGATATTTTCGAATATTTCATTCCAATATATGTTCAATGCAAAAGAACGGTCAAAAAATTAGTGTTTAACATACATGTAATATAATTACTACAGTATAATAGCTTTTTAAGGAAAATGAGGATTGGAAAAAACGCAAAATCAATAATTTTGTTTACTAACATTACTTTCTAAACGTTCACAAACATTATCTCGATATCATTTATCAAGTACATTGTATTAAAGGTACATTAAGCCTCAGTCAGAATAGAAAATCAGTATTTAATACCTTAAAACGCATATACATGTAATATAATTGCTACAGTATAATAGCTTTTTAAGGAAAATGCGGATTGGGAAAACGCATAATCAATAATTTTGTTTACTAACATTACTTTCTAAACGTTCACAAGCATTATCTCGATATCATTTATCAAGTTCATTGTATTAAAGGTACATTAAGCCTCATGAAAGTATATAATTTTTATTCCAATGTGCTATAGTTCTCTTTTCGACGCGGTCCGTTGCTATATTTAAAAATCGACCGTATCGCAAATGCAATCTGCGCAGGGCAAAATATTATCGCCCTACATAGAAAAGCAGTAGGAGTTCAAAGATGATTCTGAGTTAGTTGTCCCTTAAAAATAAAAAGTTTAAAATGCAAAAAAGGTTCCCCTTTTCTTTTTGTCAATTTATAAATTAAAAAGGGTTGGAAAAAAATTTTGTCACCCTTTCGACCACGCCTACATGAAAAACATTGAGATTTTGTTAAAAATTTTGGGAAATGATATGTAAACAAGTTGAAAAATGACCGGGGACGTGTACTCTGTTTTACTTGCCCAAACCACTCAATCAAAAGGGAAAGGGACCGTACCAAAATTTGTATATTTCGTAATACACGGATAAACGTTGTTTCAATTTAAATAAATGTTGAAAAAGTCATCTATTGATTCTATAAAAAGATGACTTTTGTATGCGCTTTTGGATAAATGAATTAGTTAGTACCGCATATTTCAATGACACCGTTAACGAGTGTTTTAAAGAACGATATACCCAAGTGACACATTTCATCATACTTAAATGCAAGAGATGGTTAAATTCTAATGCTTGTATACAATGGTTCTTTTGTCAGAATCGAATGCATCATTTAGGGTCTTTCAAGTAAGAAAAACCATAAATAATTTCGTAAATGCAGAATATTAAGTGATTTATTTAGATTAACCAATGCATCGGTTATTTATTAACATAAACTATCTAATTTATGGTTGATTATTAAGTTAAATCAAATTGTTAAATACAGTTTGTTGAATCCTGATAAATCTATTCTTTCGTTCCTTTTTTGCCCTACGCAGAATACGCTTGCGCAATGTTGCTTCCGTTTCTATGGAAATATCGAAGTGTAAAATGGTCATAGTTTAATAATGTCTAAAATTGGTTTTATTTCCATGATGGGTCTTT